GAACAGTTGATGCAGAGAATTTCCTGTTGGAGGCCAGTGGTGAGGAAGATAGCCTGGAGGTGGACATCGATATCTTCTCAGCACCAACCATTGCCACATTACTCTGCCCACCACCATCAGCAACCCTGGACTCCCAATCCATCCACACTTCGTCGCTGACAACGCGCTAGTACCCACTCCCTGGTAAGTCTTATCTTTATTATTCCCTTATTTTTCTTGCTCAGTCACCACTTGGTAGTGCGCTTCTGTATTTCTTGTCTTCTTAATCAGCAAAATGTCGGACACCCGGTCTGCATTTTTAGGAGCCGCACACCAAGTACCGCAACCGACATTTGTTTACCCTCACCTCAGGGGCAGCGCTACACTAGGGGACATTTCTCCCAATTTTTCGTTACTGAATTGCTGAGCTGTGCAGAAGGTAATGCTGCCACCTAGGGGGGCTTTACTGAAATGCCCAACAGAGAAAATCAGCTGTAATGGCTGACAAAAATGTATGCCGTAATTCTAGTTTGACTTTAAAACCTCAGTACCAACCTGAGCTGTCAGATGAATGATAGTTCAACACACTCACCTTTTATTGAATAATGCAAATCCCAATCTGCAATGCTAATCCATAGCAGCCGAAGATCATATTGGATTGGATATCAGCAAACTTCTGAGAACTGGAGTCAGATTGGGTCTTATGGGACCCATGCAGATCATTGACGCTTGCACTGTCTACATTGCAGAACATTGTGTGATGTCTGAGCATGTCACATGGACAGATCTAGCTATACCTGGACTGTTCACTGAAATCATAAAGCATATGGCTGATTTTTTTTTTTTTACTGTTCAAGGGAAATCAATGAGGCGAAGATAACCTTTAGACTAGTTAAAGGGCCAATCCACTTAGAAGTGACATTTTCTAATCTCTCTTAATTCTGCCTACTGGATTTTTATTCATTTTCTGGAATGAATATGCATCAGGAGGAGGAATTAAAGCAAGAGCCGCCAATTCTGCAATATTTTTTATTATCATGGCAACATTTAAGTGAAAGGATTCCCCTCTAGAGCACTGGGTGTGCATGGGTGGGATTGGCTACGCGCCCATCAATCCCGCAGGCAATCATTTTGCTTACACATTGCCATGGCATCAACATGGTTATCACTGGGGGATTGAGCCGTGCTTACATTGCTTTTACTATGGCAACGTATAATCAAATGTTTCCACGTGCTGGATGTGCAAGCAGGGGGTGCATATGTGATGCAAATCTTGCAAATGTACACCATTTACAAAGACATTCTTGCCTAGACGAGAAATCGGGGAGCGCAGGGACAGCAAGATGGGGGAAAAAAATGATAGTTACAAAAACCAAAATCTATTTTTAGGGTGATCAGAGGAGGAGATCCTTAAAAGAGAACTACGGGGTAAGTGTTTTTCCCCATAGTTCTCTTTAGGGTCACGGGAGGACATATACTAACCTCCTCCCGTGACCCAAAGCTCAGTATATAGCGGGCCATTGCCTGCTATATACTGAGTGCCGTAGCCGGGACGGATCCTGACAATACTGTCGAGATCCACCCAGCTGCGTGAGTGACAGCGGGCTCTGTCTATCTTAGAGCCGATCACTGTTCGGCTCTAACTACGAGGATGAGTGGGAATCACTCACCTCATAGTTCTCCTTTTAATAATATTAGGGAATCCTGAAAATGAGGGTGAAGGTTCACTTTAAGCAATGTATGACCGAGCCATTTTAGCAGAACTTCATTCCTGAAACTGCCTGGTCACGGATGGGCTTGGTTCCCAACACTTATGTGTTCTATGATAATTGGGTTCCACTTGGCTTTCTTCAGGTTGATGATTCCTGAGTAGCCATTCATAGTCGTTCCTTTCCTACTGTCGGGGAATCACTGAAATCTCTTGTAACCTTTAACATATTAATGGCATTTTAAAATGGATTTTCAGTCTTTTCAAATCTGCAGCTTTCATTTAAATAATACCCGGCTGGCGATCCCGCAGTGAGCGTCCTTGTTCAGGTACTTCCTCTTATAGGGTGACAACTCTTTCTCAGCTGTGCATTGCATTGTGCCCCTGTCACATGTGCCACGGAGACTACATGTACATCAGGAAGCAAGTCCTGAGCATTGATTTTCTGCATGTAGACAGGAAGTTGCTGAGGTAGGCACTGTGATGCAAATAGGCATGAAAACCTCATCTTAGAAAATAAAATGGCCGTGGATTTATTATACACGGGGCTTTAACAAAACAAATGTCAAACTTTTAGGGTTTGGATCTACTTCAACACCTTTCCACTGGCTGCATATATATGTGTCAGCATGGAGACGGGCATTATTCAGCACTGCCGCATATGTGTACCTGTGCTAGCAGTGTGCTCAATCATGTGACCACGCTGTCGCCACATGATGCCCATAATGCAATGATCAGAAGCTGGTAGGATGGGCTTCCAATCACTGACAGTCAATCACAGTGATCACATGACCTGGAAGCTCTGGAAACACCACTGGTGTTACTATCTTCTAAAAAGGGCTGGGGCGTGGGTGGCAGAAGGGGTTAAATTACTGCAGGGGTAGGCATTCTTGGCACTCCAGCTGTGCTGAAACAGGTCCCATCTGTCTTGCGCTGCCTCATGGAATTTCTAGTTCTACAACAGCTTGAATTCCTAGGTTACCTTCCCCTGAACTACTGTTTCAGCTGTGTTGTAACTCCAATCTTTCTCTTTGTAGCACCTTTGCAGCCCTACAAGGAGCGACCTCAGAGTGATGCATCTGTGGCAAAGAGAATGGTGAAGAGGGCACTGGGGCAGCCGAAGGAAGAAGATGACCCATCTGGGAAGGAGTGAACCTGGAACCTCTCCCCATGTTCAAGTCCACAGCACTCTATCGATGTGGTTCTCTGCACACAGCATAGGCATGAGGGTGCAGCATAGGCATGAGGGTCCAACTGCCCAAGGAATTTGGCTTTGCACATGGGGTCACCTTTACCAGTATATAGATTTTTTTTTTCCCTTTTAGAGTTGCTTTTGTTTGAAGGCGACTGTGTACTAGAGTATGAAGGCCCGTGACATTTATTCTGCGACATGCCACACTTTGCTTCCTTTGGCTCATCATCTGTTTATTTAATTAGGCAAGGAGGGCTATTATCCCATAAACCCTTGTGTCAAAAAAAAGCCACCGTCCTCTGCCTTTTCAAGTGCCTTGAAGCAGCAGAGACTTCAAAGTTGATTTTTGTTTTGTTTGTTTAAAATTTGCTGCAATGCTAAACTGTTACTTTCTGTTCAATGCGGATGCCATGTTCACGGCATGCGACAATAACAAGATCTGGTTGGTATCTGGGTAAGCTGTGTCTTTTATTGCCCCTCTCTCCCATGCCCCTTTGCAGGAAATGATACACACAGATTTATGACCAGGTTTATTCCCCATAGAAACAGAGATAAAGGCTTTACACTGGAGCCTGAAGCAGGTTGTCTCACCATTGTAACCTGCCACTCATGTCTTCACCTTTCCTCCTTCTATGGTATATGCAGAGTGGTTCTCGTGTGTGCATGCATACGGGCAGTAAGTGATCGAGAGCAAATGTAAATAGTAATAAGTTATTATTTATTCCTAGACATACACAGAAAGGAAATATATATATATGTCCTGAGTGGACGCAGTGCTGGTGCCTTTGCTGCAGGCGGGCGGGAGTGTACAGAGGAGTGTATTTCACATGTCAATGCATAGTACATTACAGGCCCTGCAGGGCAGATCTGTCAATCAGACACAAGGCGTATGACCTGGAGAACAGCAAAGTGCTGAAGGATCCACTGGCGGAAGAGTTAATAGCACCATAAATGCCAAATGGAATCCGTAGTATGTGGATATAATAGTCCCAGAGTGCACGGAGATACTAAAACAGGAGCAGTTGGGTAGGTCTAATGGTGCCGTCCCTGATGCTGCACATCTCAATGACACAGCCACTCAGCATGGCAGACTTTCAGTGACTAGCAAAGCACCACTGTCGGTGCACCATGTACTTCTAGCTGAGTGTACAATCAAATGAATTTGCAGCAACAAAGTCTTCAGTATCTCCGAATCACAGCCCTAGATGAAATGGGCCGCTACTGTGTCCGTCTTGAAATGTCTCTTTGGAAGAATTGAAATAGTTGCGTGTATCCAGATTACTGGCCTGGGCCTCCTGTGACGTGGGTACATCTGATAGTGGGGTTCCATTCTAGTGACTCATAGTGGATAGGACATAGAACATACTCAGATTGCTCATCATTTAAGATCTTCTGCTGCTGTTGCCAAGTACCAGGGAATGTAAGATTATCCAGAGGATACTGCCGCATAGCGCTCTCTCACAAGGACTAGCACCGCAGCCAATAGACCCCTCCCCCTCATTGTCCGCCTTGCTGTTCGAGCACAAGAGGCTGATCCTGTTCTCTGGATGTGGAAGAGATGAATGTCGTCCCCTGTCAGTTCTACCGGGATGACAGCTGGTTGTTGATGAGTCCGCTGAATTGTTCAAATTTCTCCTCGGTTTCTGTGCTGTATGAGCCGCCTAGAAGGAAAAGTATCATTTGTTTGTTAGGATTCTGGATGTAAGCAAACATCAGACTGTCCGGCACTTGTAAAACTGCCACCTGGTATTTCCGATGGGTATGGCATGAACTGAATGTGTTCCCACTCCTCAGCTTTATCAACCTATCAACTCCGCTCTGGTGTAGTCAGGGTCCAGAGATCCGCAAATATCTCAATTTACACAAAAATGCCCTTATTGATGGAAAAGAATTGCCATTTATCTTATCCCGGCATTCCATTAGAGTGGCTTCAACGCGCCATTTAAATATTTCTACCGCATGCTGCTAGTCTGAGCTCTAAGGTACAAAGAAAAAGACCTTACAGTTAGACACTTGGTCTAATAACATAAGGAGCTGCACATCGGCCACAACACACCACACCCCCCTAGGAGTACGCTAACCACTCAGATCTCGTTTTTCTAACTGAACTTTATTCGTCAGGACAACATGAACAGAGTGTTCCACCCAAGCTCCCTCCTCGGATGGGTTCCACCCAAGCTCCCTCCTCGGGTGGGTTCCACCCAAGCTCCCTCCTCGGATGGGTTCCACCCAAGCTCCCTCCTCGGATGGGTTCCACCCAAGCTCCCTCCTCGGGTGGGTTCCACCCAAGCTCCCTCCTCGGGTGGGTTCCACCCAAGCTCCCTCCTCGGGTGGGTTCCACCCAAGCTCCCTCCTCGGGTGGGTTCCACCCAAGCTCCCTCCTCGGGTGGGTTCCACCCAAGCTCCCTCCTCGGGTGGGTTCCACCCAAGCTCCCTCCTCGGGTGGGTTCCACCCAAGCTCCCTCCTCGGGTGGGCTCCACCCAAGCTCCCTCCTCGGGTGGGCTCCACCCAAACTCCCTCCTCGGATGGGTTTCAGCCAAGCCTGGGCATAATCGTAGAGGTCACCTTTACAATCAAGCCCAGCTTTGGGTGAAACAAATTAGAGGAAGGGGTCCTAGGGCGTGACTCTGTTCATGTTACCCAGATAGATAAAGTTATCAGTTTTTGGAGTGCAGACGGTCTTTATTTTTGGAGTAGAAGCTAAGCTCTTACTGGATTTCAGCACCCGATTGTCCATGAGGGTGACCTGATTCAGGGTTTGGGAGCAGCATTCCCTATACTTCCACCAAAGCCTGAACTGTAATGACGCTTTAAATAAATGGATTTCCCAGACTTTTTACATGAACAGGGAAATGATCTCGGCCTTTCATATAAGTGTGTGATGAGACATTGCATCAAATGTAACTATAGTAAGAGCTCGTACCTACAGGCTTACGTTCTCCACAAGTAAATGAATGCAAAACCACCTTAAAGAAACTGCTACTCAATGCAACCCGATAGTACCTGGAACCATACTGCACTTGGCTCCCTGGTAAGTCTGATTCTACATGAGATACACTTTCCATCTGCCAGTGCCCCCAAAGAAATACTGTGTGACCCCGACCCTATAGCTCAGGCCCCACTTACCTATATGGCAGTTGTACATCCATATACGCTGGCCGTCATATCGACATCGACACTTCATGATGTTGTTGGTGTAGTCTGACTCTGCTACCTCCTGGTTGGGATTAATGATAATCTGTAGGGCACAACCATGAAATGGGGTTAATATCCTGATCTATGCAATGGCGGTGTTGGCCAGCAGAGGGCACAATATTCCAGTTTTATATCAAATACAGAAATCGTGCTGAGATGACTTTGGTTTCCATGAACATACCATCTGCTTCATTCCCCCGCAATGCTACTTTATTACAGTTTGGTATTTTGTTAAATCGCTAATAAGGGAACACAATTCGGATAGTTCCAAGACGTCTTCAACATGAGTAATCGTTTTCCTAACTTCAGTATGACAAACAGCTGTGTCTCTTGATGGCCATCCAAGTTTTTATTAAGGTAACTGAAATGGAACTTGTAAATGCTTGCATGTTACCTGCGGTTGTTTGTTGCTATGGAAGAAATGATCAAGTTGGTTGAAAGGGAAAACCAAATACCAAAATATCGGGTGCAAGACTTTCCAAGCAAATGAAAGGTTATCAGCAGTAGATTCTTCAAAGAATGATGAAGAGCTTGCACTCCAATCAGGAAAGCAGGACGTTCAGCTATCAGCAATGCCTTGGATCTTTTATTGGGGATGGGCAGCAGAACCCTAACCGAGGACCTACACTCCCCGCTCTATCCTAGACCATCCCATCTTCTCCAGACATGCTAACACTTTCATGTAAGACAAACCTATTGTTTTGATCTTTTCGAGTAACCTGCAGTGATAATATAGAGAATCTGAAGCCTCTAGAACTGACTTTCTAGAATATGGAGGAAAGCTTGAAATAACATTCTGAGGGAACCCCTGCTAATAGATATATCCACAGCTCACATGGTATTAGTGTGAACAGTGAGATGTAGATGTAAAAATAATATAAGGAATGTGGCATACCTAACAAAGTATTAGACCCCCCTAGGGCTGTTCTATACAACAATATTATTTTCAGTATTCATAAATAATGTTGATAATGGCCAGTGGAAATTGTAATGCTCAAAATGGGGGTTGGTGGAGAAGTTTCTCCTTACACTGGGGTCAGTGAAGGACCTTATTACACTCATGGTCAGTGGGAAGAATGCTCCTTACATTGGTGGTTAGTGGGAAGAATACTCCTTACATTGGTGGTCAGTGGAATGAATGCTCCTCAAATTGGTGATCAGTGGGAAGAATGTTCCTTACATCGGTGGTGAGTGGCGAGAATGCCCCTTACATTGGTGGTCAGTGGGGAGAATGCTCCTTACATTGGTGGTCAGTGGGAAGAAAGTTCCTTACATTGGTGGTCAGTGAGGAGAATGACCCTTACATTGGTGGTCAGTGGAAAGAATGCCCCTTACATCGGTGGTGAGTGGGAAGAATGACCCTTACATTGGTTCCTTTGTGGGGAGAATGCTCCTTACATTGGTGGTCAGTCAAAAGAATGCCCTTTACATTGGTGGTCAGTGGAAAGAATGACCCTTACATGGGTGGGCAGGGGAAGAATGACCCTTACATTGGTGGGCAGGGGAAGAATGACCCTTACATTGGCGGGCAGGGGAAGAATGACCCTTACATTGGTGGGCAGGGGAAGAATGCCCCTTACATTGGTGGTCGGTGGAAAGAATGCTCCTTACATCGGTGGTCAGTGGAAAGAATGCTCCTTACATTGGTGGTCAGTGGAAAGAATGCTCCTTACATCGGTGGTGAGTGGAAAGAATGCTCCTTACATTGGTGGTCAGTGGAAAGAATGCTCCTTACATTGGTGGTCAGTGGAAAGAATGCTCCTTACATTGGTGGTCAGTGGAAAGAATGCTTCCCCCTACGGATCCCTGAGAGATAATTGGTGTCTGTGGATACTTAATCTAAGGGACAGGCATTGCTCACTGCTCAGTGAACCCCTAGCAACGTCTTGAGAAGCCCCGGTTGCAAAAGGCTACTCTAAAACATGGTTGACTAGAGGCCTTCGCAAGTACGCCAATAATGTTGTGAAGCCTCCAGACCGGCCTCTTCCCGGCCTAGTCAAGAAGCCGGACGGCGAGTCATTACCCGCTTCCCGATTGGCCGGAAAGCCAGCTCCTTGGTGGCGAGGGAGCATGGAGACGACTTCCAGTCAATCAGGAATTTGGGCGGCGTGTAATGACTCCGGTATAGGGAATAGCATCGGGAGCATTTGGGTGAGTACAAGTACTCGCCCAAATACTCGGTATTGACACCAATACTGATACTAGTATCGGTATCGGTGCATCCCTATTCAAAATATTTGTTGGAGTCTACATTGGTGGGTTGAGGCAGTGACCTGTGTTCTCCCATCCCCCCCCTCCTCCCCTCCCCCTACACACATGGTGCTGATGCTGAAAATGGATTTAAGGGTATCTGTCAGACAGAAATAAGGGAACTGCAATTGCTGACATGTTTTCAAAATGTTAGGCTCTGAGTCTGTCATCCTGATCCTTGTGTTAGTACCTGGTGAATAAGTGACCCACTAAGCAGTGACGCCTGGACCAGGATAAATGCCCCAGGAGCTTGCAGGCTTAAAACTACTTGGTGATAGCAGCATTCCTATGTGTAATATGTATTACAGCTGTCCAGAGTATACAAGAAAATAACAACAGCACCCACAGCTGTCCCTGAGACGTTAGGCTACACTACAACCGCAGAATCTTACAAATGCTCGGTACTGAATGATACTCTTCAAGTTTTGGAAACAAACAAAAAAATGGTACGCATCTGAAAGGTAAACATTGTAAATGTTAAAAGATGAAGTCAGGGCATGTGTACTGATTTATGTATCTCACCTGGAAGAAGTAATCTCCTGGGGCTACGTCAGTGATATCAATCCACTGGCAGTCAATATCATGTCTGTAGATGTCCCAGCAGCCAACACTGATCCCTTGTTCACCAAAGTTCGCACACACATACTGCTTCTGTGCATCTGTGCAACGATAGGAAGAAATTACAATAAGATTGGGGCTGATGAGATGAAACATGGGGAGAAAACGTTACAAGAATGAGAGCAAATCATGAAGACAGATGTAGGGCTTGTCTGTGTCTTCTCACCTGTCTCACACTCCGAGTCCTCCAGACAGAAACTGGCCTTGTGCCCCTCAGCAATCTTGGTCCCATTTAAACTCAGCAAGTCGTAGTGCGTGAAGACCTCCATACTGTGGTAGTGGCTGCACAGAATAATAGATATTGAATACACTACCCAACGTATATACAGGTGAAACTCGAATAATTAGAATATCATGCAAAAGTAATTGCAGTAAGTGCTGCAAAAGGGGCCCAAACCAAGTACTGAGTACATATGCATGCTTGTACTTTTCAGAGGTCCGATATTGTTCTATGTACAATCCTTGTTTTATTGATTGCATGTAATATTCTACTTTTTTGGGGTTGTGGATTTGGGGTTCTTGGGGTTTTCATGAGTTGTAAGCCATAATCATCACAATTCTGACAAATCACGGCTTCAATTATCTTGCTTTGCATGTAATGAGTCTATCTCATATATTAGTTTCACCTTTTAAGTTGCATTAGTGAAAGTAATGAACTTTGCACGATATTCTAATTATTCGAGTTTCACCTGTATTATGTATGTCGCACCAAGATGATATTAAAACATTACATTTATACATATACAAGGATACTTAACAATAAACGAATTCCAGCAGTCGCCCCGGCCTACTACTTCAAATCTGTGGGCAAACCAAGCCATGAGTTGTGCCCTTCACCATGTAGCACTTTGGTCCTCCTCAAAGCTAGAGGGCCAGGCCTGTCTTTAACGCAGGGCAAAAGGGGCAGTTGCCCTGGGCCCAGTTATTGTTGTGGGGCCCAAAGAAGCCGCCCCTTGAGCCTGCACTGCTCGCTCCCTACTGGGAGATGCGGGAAGTCAGCGTCCCGTCTCTTCTCCCCCCTCATCCTCCTGGTTTCCCTTATCTCTCCAGAGATAAGACAGACAGCAGAGATCGGGAGCTTTGTCTGCTCTGCCTAGCAACTGATGATGCTGATGGGCGGGCTGTCATAATTACGTACTTCGGCCCGCCCATCACATCGTCAGTTGCTAGGCAGAGCAGACAAAAGTCCTGATCTCCCGATCTGCTGCCTGTCTGCAAGTACCGTAACGGCAGGGGGGGGATTAGGGAAACCAGGAGGATGAAGGGGGAGAGCACGGGGATCACAGGCTCAATAACAGACTCTGATCCCCTTGCAGACAGGCCGCAGAGATCAGAAGATCAGGACTTTTTTTATTTATCAAAGCACAGGGATCAGAGCCTATCATGCATGCCTAGACCAGCCGGCCCGCCCATCTGCATCATCAGTTGCTAGGCAGACAGGGGGCTGATAAAATAAATTGATTTGGGATGTTGAGGTGGAGAGAGAAACTGCATGGCAGGTAGAGGGCGGGGGGGGCCCAAGAAAATGTTTGCCCAGGGTCCAATCAATATTAAAGACGGCCCTGTAGAGGGCCACAAGGTGCTCTGCATGCATGGCCTATTCTCTGTAGGCCCTGATGGAAAAGCTGCCAAAATGCAGGCTTGTAAGTAGACGGCTTCACCATTAGGGTCTCTAGAGCAAACCCGCACATGCAGAGTCCGGTCCGCTGTTCGGAGGAGTATTCCTTTATTTGTTCACCTCGTGGAAGAAAGAAATGCATTTTATATGCAAGTAATCCGGTATCACATTCCCCTTTTCTATATCACATATCCATGAGAAATCGTATTGATTTACACCCTCGGTACACAACACACCGTATGGTACATTGTTTGGTAATAGCCTGCCGCCTGCTTATTTGTCTTGTATTGTCTTTTTAGCCATATACCTTAAAAGGGCTAATTTCATTTATACCGTAAACTGTTTATAGAGCATCTGAAAAGACTTTTCTGGTAACACAAACACATCAGGATCTCATAAAAACTGGATCTTTCTTGTAGAAAACACATTAACAAAAAACATTCTTGCGCAGTACTGCGGTGCATGTGGAAAATCAATGTTGCCTCTCACAAATAATGGCTGTTGCAGAGCAGCATCCAAGTTCTGTGGTGGCTGGGAAGTGTCCTGTGATTTCCCTGACTGTAAGGGAATAAAGGATTGGCTTTCATGATATCCTGAGTGTTTGTTATGTCAATTTCCGTCTACCTTTTAAAAACCTACAAAGAGTCGGTATAAAGCACTTTTATTGTAGCTGCCTGAGCGTTAAGTCACCCAGCAGTTTCGTATATCTCGTAGGTACTTCAAGTATACAATGTCTGTCCTTGAGTTTTCAGGCCTGTATTCCTGCTGTAGCAATTATAATAAGTTCTCTCCCTTTGGGATTCACATTATACTATGGAGAATAGGGATGCACTGATACTGATACTAGTATCGGTACCGTTGCCGATACTAGTAATGGTGCCGATCTCGAGTATTGGGGCAAGTACCTTTACCAGGGGCAAGTACCGATACCAGAACTTCTGGTCAGAGGAAGATTTCCTCTGACCGGCAGTGCCATAGGGGAACATGGAGCCGGCTTCCCAGTAATCCGCCGGGCGGCAAGTAATGACCCACCTCCCAGTTTCTTGAGTGGCCGGGAAGCCGACTCCATCCTGATTGGCCAGGGAGCCGGCTCGATGCTGATTAGCTGGGAAAGCACTGGCCAAACAACATAGAGCTGGCTTCCAGGGCAATCAGGAAATCAGGCAGTATGTCATTACTCGCCGCCCGGCTTCCTGATTGCCTGGGAAGCTGGCTCCATGCCAGCGGAAGCACCGGTATCGGCACGCGGTATCGGCAAGTACCGAAAGTGAAATATCTGTACTCGTATACCGAAAAATGCTATCGGTGCATCTGTAATGGAGAACATAGAAGAGAAAAGAACACCTATTTTAGCTGGAGAGACCCTCCAAGATGAATGGGACTAGACCAAGGAACTATGGTGACCATCTCATCATTAAAGTCCCCAGGAGATAGAGGGAGGTAGTAGATGTCTCAGTTTTAGGGCAGATGCCACAGAGTTAAATCACCCAGCGGTTTCTTATATCTCAGAGACTTCAGGTGTAAAATATCCATTCTTGTGTTTTGAGACCTGCATTCCTGCTGCAGCAATTACGATACGTTCTCTCCCTTTGGAACTCATATTATACTATGGAGAACATACCAGAAGAGATGAAAACGCCTATTTCAGCTGGCGAGACCCCCTTCAAGATGAAGGGGAACAAACCCACTAACAATGGTGACCATCTCACCATTGAAGTCTCCAGGAGATAAAGGGGGGTAGTTGATGCCTCAGCACTAAAGACTTCTCCTATAACTGAAATATTACTCTGGAGTGGACTGATCCATTACCTGATAATGAGATATTAGTTATATAATTTACCTATCATGGATTGTTTTATTCATAGGTGTCATAGGGTGGAGAATTTCTGCTTTCCATCAGTTTCATTTGGGACTTACTAATAATTGATGCCCATTGTTTTCTTTACTGTACATCATCATTCTGCAAATTGCCTTACTCTCATAAATTCCTCTCGGAGTCCCTCGTTATAGTGTTGTAGACTAAAGTTGGTGGGACATTATCTCATTAACATTTGTTCCTCAGATAGTTTTGTTCTCCCATGATCTATTACATTTTTCATGCCATGGAGAGGAACATTCCCCAGCACTATATTGAACTCATTCCCCAGAGATCCAGTAGCCACCACATTGTACAGCATGAAATTGTCCTAGCCTCTAGTCTGGAGTCAGTAGATGGAAACGGTTTCTGATTATCATGCTTGGCTTTAGTTCTGCTCTCACACTGAAGCAGAATTGTGCTTGATAATAAGTCACAGATAAAAGACAGCGGCAGATGCTTCGGCCTACAATATGGAAACGATGAAGCCTGGTGCCACGTGAATAAAAAGCAGAGATCGTGTTTTTAATATGAAATTGATTATTTTTTCCAGATGCAAAAGTGTGCGCTACTAATATGTATTATGTGCAGGATACAAATCTCACCCACAGCCATAAACCCTAATGAGGATTCCAGTGCACACCATCTTGTTTTACAACCATAGAAAAATGCCTCAGCACAAGCTGTTCAAAAACCATGAATTGACTGTATTTGCTGGCGTATAAGACTACTTTTTATACTTAAAAACATCCCCCGAAAATCGGGGGTCGTCTGATACGCCGGGTATACAATGTATACCTTTAGTTTGTTTGGGCCATGCTGGCCCAAAACGAACATCCCTAATCTGTCAGCCCGCTGGATGTGCGGTAATACTGTATGTACGGTAGCTTCAGCTACATACAGTATACCGTGCTGAGCCGATCATGGCGAGCAATGTACACAACCGCTACCAATCCAAACAAGCTTTGTATTCATTAATAGAATACATTGCTCGCCGTGATCGGCTCAGCGCGGTATATTGTATGTAGCTGAAGCTACTGTACATACAGTATTACTGCACATCCATCCATGATGTTTTTAAATGGTGTTGCCTCGGAAGGGGGGTAGTCTTATATGACGAGTATTGTCCCAAACCTATGTTTTAAGTGGAAAATTAGGGGGTCGTCTTTTACACCTAGTCGCCTTATATGCCGGCAAATACGGTACTCTCAAGCAGCAATGCTGATTTACTGCACGTCAATGCACTATAATATTATGATAAGTGAGTTGTGTAAGCTGATAAACTCGGGATTATGACACACGACTGTGCTTGAGTTTTCCACCTGCTAACATGCAGGAAGACTATGCATGCCAGGAGGGAGGATCAGCCACAGACAGGTATATCATGAAAAGCTCTATTCTGGCAGGACATTAAGGGGGTTATTCACAAAGCTGCCAAAGGCAGGCGAGTGAATAGCCCAGCCGAAGTGAAGTGAGCCGAACAACGTTCTGCTATGCACTCCGGAAGGACTTCGACTCAGCCGATCCAACATCTGGATTGGCTGAGCTGATGCTCCGGCATCTCACTCGCTGCCGTTCCCCCCTATTCCCACCGAGCGGGCCTAGCTATTCTGCTCCGTACCTCCGTGGTACCGAGCAGAATAGCAAATAAGTGGAAATAATGTAAAAGAAAAAAAATTCGCAAAATAATTTAAAAAATGTAAAAAAAAAGATTTTTAAAAAATACAATATTTTGAACAGAAAAACAAATTTAAAAAAACTATTGGGCGGAGCTAGTGGTGACCTATTAGTCAGCACCTGCTAGAATCT